GATGTTGTTGTTGTTGTTGTTGATAATGATGAACTATCAATATTTGATTCTTCTTCAACAATAGATGGTAAAACAGATTTCGTACGAAATAATGTTATTGTTGTTGGCGATGAACATCGAATATAATGTGATCGAAGATTTGAAGCTAGATGTAAATTTCGACGAGATTGAGGAAAATGACATGTCGATAAAGAACGAAAACGATTAAGTAATGATGGAGATGAAAGAGAAAAACGCATTGAAAATGTTCGACGTGTATATGGAATTAATGATCGACAAGAAGATTTTTCACCATCACCTTCTTCTTCGTCGATTTTTGGTATTGATGATGCTGCTGCTGATGATGAGGAGGAGGATGGTGATGATGCATGTAAACGTTTAAGACGTGACGAACGAAAAGCTTTTACTTGACAAGAAGGAACTGAACGAAATCGTAATGCTAAATTAGATGATTTATGTGACGATCTAAACATATTTTTTGTTTGTAAATTTTAATTTATTAAATCAAATTTTCTTTTTACCCTTGAACATAATCACCAAATGTACTTTCATCGATTAAATTGCATAATTGATCAATATCAGATATTGAAGAAGTTTTATTACTAGTACTTTTTTTAATTTCTTCCACTGGTTCTCGTTGCTCCATTTCATAACAAATCAAAATAAATATGTGTATATAAATAAGAAAGATAATTTTTCAAATATTCTTGTTTTTTTATTTTTAAATTTGAACGTTAATCTAAATAAGATCAATTGAATATACTTGACTTTTCTAGTAAGCAAAAAAGAACCTTCTATTCGACAAAGACAAAGAAATGGGTGTAATTTGATCGATGAATCATCAACTCGCGTGTCTTTAGTTTGTACCCATTATGGATTTATACCATTGTTATTTAATATGTACCTTCACTTAAAATATAAATAAATTCTTTTAATTTTTGTTTATTAATATCTAGAAAAAAATTTAAAAAATATTTTCTTGTTTATTTTCAAAGGTGTTATAGATGTCACTTTTGATCTGGATGAGGATTCTTTTTTTCCAATCAGAAACTAAACATTTTTATGCATGGAAAAAAGATATCCTTTTCAACGGAAATTACTTTAGAACATAGAAAATCTATTAATCGAATAA